ATAGTGTCTGATTCTGTTGTCGATACTGCCTGGCACATTCCGTGGGAAGAGAAGGCAGCTGCCAACACCATCGGGCTTGGAATGGGCGCTGGCAGGGTGCTCAAGCTGCCCATGCAGGTGTTCCCTTAGTGGCCTGGGCCATCCCAGCCCTCCTGCCTGCAGAAGCAGGACCAGCTCTACTGCTGTGGCCAGAGGCAACGCTTTGGGTTGCTCCTGTTTGGGCGGAGGTGATCTTTGAAACTAGTTTTACTTTTACAGCCGGTAATATACATTCATAATGTGCCAACATCTGCTGTTCCATATGTTAAGCATTAAAAAAATAAGCAGTTTAGTTTAGTTTAAACTTACTCCTGTGTTGTGTATTAGAAAAGTATAAGATTTTTTTAAACTATGAAATTCAAGCTATTGGGAGTTTTAGACTGAAGATAACATGTCCAATTACTGTTTTCTTGAGCAGGGAATACAGATGGAAGAATGATTCATCTCGCTTAAAAAACTAACATCTTTTTGGGAAGGATGAATATTAGCAAAATGCCTCTTAAACATGGGAAATGTTAAAGCTTGCTTCCATTCTAGTTTTGTGAGGCCTACAACCTTATTTGACAATTTGATTTTTAACCATAGGGAAAAGTTTTAATACATACAATTAAATCTTTGGACAAACTTTGAAAAATATCTCTACGGATATATGCTTGTCTTGGAAGATCTCAAACATAAACAAAATATACTTGTATTTAATGTTCAAAAATTCAAATTTGCTCCAATTTGCTACACCCCCACTTCTCATAATTTCTGGTGAATGTAGCTATACTTCTTTTCACTTGTACAATCAAATGAATAGCTGTCATAGGAAGATTATACCCTCTTGCTTTTCATACTCTGTATTTTTTCTGGTGCTTTTTACCAGAACATTCTAGTAGATTTATCATTTTCTAAAGAATTTAATTTTAAATGTCAGGAAATTATTTAGAAAAAATATTCTTTTTGACTACTAAAAATTGCTGTCTGAACATAAAATTTCTCTTTGCAAAGTAAGGCAAAAATATACTGGCTTAAATTACTCAACTTATTTTATTACAACTGCAGCATGGATGCATTTTGCCTCTGTTTAAAACAGGCCTGTTCTGAATATTTAAATGCCAAATAAATAAACTAGCCAAGTACTGGAAATTTAATATATCTTCACTTACAGCTATTTACTGAGCCTGGGTGGGTAATCACTGGTTATTATTAGAATTATCCTTAAATAATTGAATATTACATTGTATATTGGAGTGATAATTAGGTCAAAACTGATTTAGATACCTACTGAGTATGACCTACCTCTTTCAAAAGTAATGTTCAAGTTTAAGCTTTTCTAAGAAAAAAGGGTAAACATATGGTGCAGCGTATACTCACAGTGATATATTACTCTCAAAACTATCTTAAAATAACATTACGAGGGTTGCAAAGTAAATCAGTTATGAATAAAAAGGAGAACTGGAGTGCCATTTTCTCTTCTGTCTACATGTGCATCGTTATCACTGCCGCTAATAGTGTGCTTTTAAAATAAACAGTTGTTTCCATACAGCTTTGTAATGAGAAAAGAGTACCCTTTGAGCAATTTATGCAGTTAGGTCCTAACTTTTTTTTTTTTCTAGAATATTTAAATCTTGCTTTGGAGGCAATCATTTATATAATTTCCTCACAGATTTTGCTTATGTTGTCAGGATTTTGAAGGCTCCAAGAGCCCTTACTGGTTGCACCTGAGTTGTCAGTGGATCCTCCCATGCCAGCTGCTCATGGGCATCGGGCTCCATTTCCACTTAGTCCAGGAACCCCAGCCCTTGCCCCAAGGACACCATAGCAGTGAGGGTCACCAGCCCTGACCTTGTCACCCACAGGACTCTGGGTTCTGCATTGTATGGAGCTGGGCTCCTGCAGGACCCCTGGGACCTGCACTGTGAGGACCTGGGTTCCTGGGGACAGCCGGGGCCTGTGTTGCGGCTCATCTCCAACCCCAGCCCTTGCCCTGTCTCCCAGAACCTGGGTCACTGCTTGCTATGTTGGGGGCTGTAAATGGACCCTGGTACCAGCACCTGGATCTGCTGACACATTCAGCCCCCATGAGTCTGCATCCCTCAGTGAGGACACAGCCTGTGCTGGGGTCACCTCGCTCTCAGCTTGTCCTTCCCCATGCAGCAGCCCTGCTCCTCCTGCTCCATGGTTTATGGCACTTGGTACACTACATTGAACTCTTTACAAATTATGCTACAATTTATTTTCATAACTTGCAGGAGAGATCACCAGAAAGCTCCAAAGGCAACTTTTCAAAGTTGCTGATTCATGTCATGTTTTATCAGCTCAAACCCTTATCTTTCATCAGCTTCATTTAAAAGTGAGATTTTTCAGCGTTAGTGCAAACAGAGCTCTCGTTCTGCAAATTTCAATAAGATTAAATTTTAAAAGGAACAATTAAACAAGGAAATTCAATGCTGGATGAGGACTGTTTGGAACACTGTATCAGAAGTTATCAGATTCACAAACAACCCAATTGCAAAACTCTTTTTTTTTTTTTTTTGGTCATATTCTACCTTCTTTAATCAAAGTGCTGAAGCAGAAAAAGAGATAGAGTGGTCTTGTCAGTCTGCAATGCTTTTTGTTAGCTGCATGATTATATATTTGTATAGATATGACTATACAAGCCCCAGAGAACATTTTTGTCTGTTTTACAGTGAAATTATTAGTCTGTTTTAAAGTGAAGCAAGGAAAGTGGTTAGTTACAGAATCACAGAATGGTTAAGGTTGGAAGGGACCTCTAGAGATCATCTAGACCAACTCGCTCACTCCAGCAGGGACACCTAGAGCACGTGGTACAGGGTGGCGTCCAGGTGGGTTTGGAAGATCTCCAGAGAAGGAGACTCCACAATCTCTCTGGGAAGCCAGAGAGTTAATTTGATTATATTTTTTGAATGTTACCAGATCAAACAACAAAATCCATTCTCATGCTCTGCAAGCACTGCACTTAAATACTCCTTTTTTTTCTGATTTAAATTAAAAGTTTTTTTTAAAAAAAGAGTCCCTGGAACATCACCTTTCTACTTGCTACAGGAATCTGCAAGAGCAAACCTGTCACCGTGAAAAAGAAAATTTTGTAGATCTTGCATAACTTCACTATTAAAGTTCCTTAAATAAAATTTGATTCTCCACTCTCACAAAAATGTATACTATTTTTCTCCTGCACCCACATGCTACAAAGATCTTGCAAGACATGCAGAACAAGTCTATTTCAAGACTTTGAGGGAAGAATTTATTCTCCTTTTCCAATTATAACTTATTCTCTTCTGCTTTACAAACTCCCTTTTTTCTTTCTTCGACAGAAAACTGCATCATCTTAAATGCACCATTCCTAAGTTTTTAAGCACGCTACAGTGTTTGCCAGGCTTCCTTGACCTTTTTTTTATCAAGATATCAATATATTTTCTAAAAAAACCCTAAAGCTCCACCTAAGGAGACTTATTATAGCAAAAAGGAATCCTGTATGCATATATATATATATAAAAAGAATCTATGTATAGAGATAGTTATGTGTATGAGAACAAAGACACCCCTTCTTCATGTCTTGAACAAGATATATGCAAACAAAAAAATCTGCCTTTGCAGCTTTCTATTATTTTCCTCTTCTATCTTACTACCTTTCTTTACCTGTTTTCTCTTATGCTTATTAAGACAGTAGCTTTGTAACAATCCTAAGTTGTTAGCAGTAGTAAGTCCTTTTCCATCCATGAAGACTCTTTTTTACCTATTCTTTCACCTATTCTATTACTTATTCCGGTAGATGAAGCAATGAAAGTCTTGACTGACTATGAGGATTTTGCTTTCTACATTCTTACATGTGATCAAATCTCCATTGAAACTTTATTTTTTGAAGTATGGCCAGAAAGAAGAAAAGTTTATCTGTATATCCTTGGATTTGCCCTGATTTTTTTTCAGCTGTGGGCTGCCTGCTTGCCTGCAGCTAATATCAGAAGTGCTCACAATCACTAAAGAAACAGGCAATACAAATAGAAGCACCGACATACAAAGAAATAGAATTTCATTCTAAATAGATTTTTCCATGTCTGCTCTTTGCTGCTCACTTGGTAAGCAGAATTCATGCCCTGCAAACATTTGAGATAGATAGATAAAAACTCTTCCTGCTCAAATTTATATCCTCTAAAATCTTAATTTGTCGTGGACAAGTGCTGAACTGTTATCCGGAATTAAAAAAATAAATAAAATTGTTAATAATAAATCAACACTTGCCATTTAATATTTAACCTTAAGAATACATATTACTTTATTAAAGCAACACTGTGTAAAACTAAAATGAAACTGGACAACACTTGAATATTACCTTCTTTGTTACAGCTAAGACAAATAATATATATATGCAATGTTATGCATATATATATATATATATATATGCATGCATTGCAAATTTGTGGTATATCTGTCAATCTGCAGCTCTCCAAAATTAGTCATTTGGATTATAGCTTTGAAATATGCACTGTTAAAAAAATGTTCTGCAACCCATTATATTCTTGATTTTCAAGCTAATTTTCTTTTACGGTCCATTTCTGATGTCTCATACACAATGATGGCTGAGAAATGTCCTTATACTTTTCCAGCCACTCCTGAAAGCCTCCTGTTGCAAAGATTAGGCTCCTGGGTCACTCAAACTGAGACCGGCACTATTTCAACATCCTTTTACACTTCTTTGTTTCCCATATGTTTCTTCGTTCATTGCATTTTGTCAAGATAACAAGTTTTACAACAGTACTAGAAATTGTTTTTAGCTAATGCTTTAAATAGATTTAAAATACATCACATATTACGTCATTTTTAACTAACTCAGGAAAACATGCACCTCAAAGGCTGGACAGATAAAATTTGGAACATAAAGGCATTAGCTTTTACAGTTACTTAGATAATTTTAACATGCAAACACAGGTCACATTTTAATGAATTTTATTATTTACCTTGTCCTAAAGTTAGCAGGATGAGGATGCCCATCATATAATGATAAGTAATCATATTCCTCTTCTAGAGCAAAGGATTGAAAGACAATCTGTATTCTGTTTCTTTCTTCTGCTATTATAACCCAAGTACAGTTTGCACCATTTGGATATCCATACGGGAAGCCAGGGCTTTCTATAGTGCCATTAAGTCCTTTTAGAGTTCCACCACAGGTATAAATAAATCCTAAAAAGCAAACAAACAAAACAAGGAAAATGAAGTTAGCAATACATTTTTATATCAACTTTCAATAAAAGAAAATATGGCTTTCGAATTCATGATTTCCACAAAACACTTCTCATTGACCAAAGTCCTGCATTTAGCTCAGGTATTAGAATACGGCCACTTAATGCAAAACAGTTCCACCTACCTAACAAATGTGTTTTCCATACTGTTTATATAAAGACATATGGTGTTTCTCTATGTCTTTGCAGAGAAATATGAAGGTAAAGCTCAGGTATTAGAATACGGCCACTTAATGCAAAACAGTTCCACCTACCTAACAAATGTGTTTTCCATACTGTTTATATAAAGACATATGGTGTTTCTCTATGTCTTTGCAGAGAAATATATATAAACAACATCTACCTAATTTTCTTGCCTATGAGACAAAGCATTTGTATCAATTACCCCTATTGTAAAAAAGAGATGCTGCCAGAGCAAGATGAGCCTTATTCTTTCAGTGCAAGTCTGTTACAAATTAGATCCATCAGTCTCTTCCCACTCCTCCCCAGATTTTGGGACTGGAAGCTGCTGAAGGATTACTAATTATGCAAAACTTTTTTTTTCCTTTTTTATCAACAGTTTCCTTTTATGAAAGCTTAATAACTCAAGATGAAATAGCCACTTGTTTTTGTTGCATAACTATTCAACCCTGCTCAAATAGCTGAGTTTGTGTCTGCAATCAGAATAACTTACTAAGCTTATAATTGTCTAAATAAAGTTTTAAGATGCACAGTTCACATACTGTAACTGACCCCAAGCGGGTCTAAGCTGAAAGGTGAATCTGCCAACCCATCCTCTTTAACATTAATATTCTTACGTGACTGAAGCAGCTCTTTCATTCAAAAGACAGATTTTATTAGGCTATAACCTTTTATCTTCTTAAGTGTTTTCTGAGAAAAGATAGAAAACAATAATAGTTATAAAAACTGTACCCTCGCAGAGCAGGACCTTTTCTCCAGCCTCATTCTCAGTCCTACTTATTGCAATTCCTAATTCTAACCTTCCTGGGGCCTGGGTTAAGGATGTTACGCAGATACTTCTCAGCCTGGTTAGCCCCACTGACTATTATCCATTGATGGTCCTACATGTGGGAGGAAAAGAAGCGGCAACATGCAGCCTGAGAGCAATCGAAAGGGACTTTAGGGAATTTTTAGGGACTTCAGGATTTTCAGGAAGCACAGGCCAGGAAGGCAAGGTGGCAGAGTTGCTCTTTACGTGAGAGAGCAACTGGAATGTATGGAGCTAGTGAACGGGAAGACGAAGCACGGGTCAGGAGATGAGGTGAGGATTAAAGGGCAGGCCAACACTGTCGTGGGAGCTTACTACAGGCCTCCTGACCAGGGAGAGGAAGTGGAGGAGGCCGCCTACAGGCAGCTGCAAGAAGCCTCACAATCCCAGGCCCTGGTCCTTATGGGGGACTTTAACTACCCTGATGTCTGCTGGGATAATCACACAGCTAGGAGGAGACAGTCCAGGAGGTTCCTGCAGAACGTGGCAGATTACTTCTTGATGCAGGTGGTTGATGAGTCAACAATGGGAGGGGCGCTGCTAGATCTGATACTAGCTAACAGAGATCGTCTAGTTGGAAATGCGAAAGTTGGGGGCAGTCTTGGCTGCAGTAACCACGAGATGATAGGAGTTCATGATCCTGTGAGGAGGAAACTGGACAAGAAGCAAGCCTGGACTTCAAGAAAGCTACCTTGACCTCTTCAGGGAGCTCCTTGGAGGAATCCCCTGGGCAAGGGTCCTAGAAGGAAGGGTGGTCCAGGAGAGTTGGCTACTATTCAAGCACCGCTTTCTCCAAGCTCAGGATTGATGCATTTCTATAAGAAAGAAGTCAAGCAAGGCAGGCAAGTAGCTGTTGGGTAAACTCAATGAGAAAGAGCAAGAGCATGTACATAATGTGGAAGAAGGGCCAGGCCACATGGGAAGAATATAGGAATGTTTTCAGAGAATGCAGGGATGCAACGAGGAAGGCCAAGGCCCGTTTGGAATTAGAATTGGTGAGAGATGTCAGAAACAACAGGAAGGGCTTCTACAAATACATGCGCAGCAAGAGGAAGACTAGGGAAAATGTTAGTCCACTGCTGAATGGGGAGGATGCCTTGGTGACAGAGAATGCAGAGAAGGCAGAATTACTAAATGCCTTCTTTGCCTCAGTTTTTACTGCTAAGGCCAGTCCCCATGTACTGAGCCTGGAGACAAGAGAGAGAACCAAGAGAGAGGAGGACTTGCCACTAGTGTAAGAGACTGCTATGGATTGTGTCTGTCTGTGTTTGACATTGTTGACACACCATTTACCTGAACAATGCCCCAGTATCTTGTCTCTGGAAAAAACAGCTCAAGACCCAAACAAGGACATTATCTCTCACCATTTGCACCTCTTAACCCTGGCATCTTATCTCTGGGAAGGAGACCTGAAGAATGACATTCTCAGCAGTGCCCACCAGAGCAGTGTGCATTCAAATCAAGAGTAAAGAGAAACACCAAAGCACACAGCATGTACAACATGAACAACACGTACCAGAAAACTTCAAAAAAATGGGAAGACTCTTTGAGAAGGGGGATAAAAGGACTAGGTATTCCTGCACTGAGGAGTGCAGAACATCACCTGCACCCGGCACACACGGCCTTCTGCTTCTGAACATCACCTGCACCGGCGTGCACGGCCTTCTGCCTGTGGATCATCACCTGCACTGAGATGGCACAGTTTCTTTCCCTGAACATCACTTGCACCGAGGCACCTGTACCTGCACCAAGGCACCTGTACCTGCACCGAAGCGTAGGCAACGACACTCAGCCGGACTGATGGTGGTGGTAACTATAATCTTGTTGTGCATCTCTCCTGCTTGCTTGCTGCTCTTTCTTTCTTTTTCCCTTCTTCTCTCTGTCCTATTTGTGCTTATGAGAATTGGTTGTATGGCATTTGACCCCGTTTGTGTCTTAATCTTGCTCCTGGGATCATATCAAAACCTCCCCTGACGCTGGATCAGGACATCTGGTCAAGGAGGATTGAGTTAGGGATTATTTAGGCAAACTGGACACCCATAAATGTATGGGACAGATGGGATGCACCCAAGAGTGCTGAGGGAACTGGCAGGGGTCATCGTTCAGCCACTCTCCATCATGGAGAGCGGGGGAGGTGGCAGAGGACTGGAAGAAAATCAATGGCGCTCCAGTCTTCAAAAAAGGCAAGAGGGAGGACCAGGAAAATCCAGGCTGGTCAGCCTCATCTACGTCCTGGGAAAGGTGGTGGAGCAGCTCATCCTAGGTATGTCAAGGAAAAGAAAGGTGATCGGGAGTAGTCAGCATGGATTCACCAAGGGGATGTCATGTCTGACGAACCTAATAGCCTTTTACGATGAGGTGATTGGCTGGATGGATGATGGGAGAGCCATGGATGTTGCCTACCATGGCTTCAGCAAAGCTTTCAACACAGTCTCCCATAACATCTTCATAGGAAAGCTTAGGAAGTGTGGACTGGACAAGTGGACAGTGAAGTGGATTGAGGCCTGGCTGGATGGCAGGGCCCAGAAGGTGGTAATAGATGGGGCCGAGTCTGCTTGGAGGCCTGTGGCCAGTGGTGTTCCGCAGGGGTCGGTAGTGGGCCCAGTGCTCTTCGACTTGTTCATCAATAACTTGAACAAGGGCACAGAGTGCACCCTCAGCAAGTTTGCAGATGACACCAAACTGAGTGGAGTGGCCAACACTCCCAAGGGCTGTGCTGCCATTCAGAGAGACGTAGACAGGATGGAGAATTGGGCAGAGAGGAACCTTATGAGGCTGAACAAGGACAAGTGCAGGATCCTTCACCTGGGGAGGAATAACCCCAGGCACCAGTACAGATTAGGGGTTGACCTGCTGGAAAGCAGCTCTGTGCAGAGGGATTTGGGAGTCCTGGTTGGGATCCTGGCCTGCCTCAGGAGGAGTGTGGCCAGCAGGTCGAGGGAGGGGATCCTCCCTCTCTACTCAGCTCTGGTGAGGCCGCACCTGGAGTACTGTGTGCAGTTCTGCGTTCCCCCGTACAAGAGGGACCTGGAGCTTCTAGTCCAGCGAAGAGCCACGAAGATGGTTAAGGGACTGGAGCATTTTTCTTATGAGGAAAGACTAAGCGAGCTGAGCCTGTTTAGTCTGGAGAAGAGAAGGCTGAGAGGAGACTTGATTAACATGTCCAAGCACCTGAGGGGTGATTGTAGGGAGGATGGAGCCAGGCTCCATGGTGGCCAGTGACAGGACGAGGGGTAACAGATTTAAGTTGAATCAGAGGAAGTTCCACCTCCATATGAGGGAGAACTTCTTTCCTGTGAGGGTGACAGAGCCCTGGAACAGGCTGCCCAGAGAGGTTGTGGAGTCTCCTTCTCTCGAGCTCCTCAAACCCTGCCTGGATGCCACCCTGTGCCACGTGCTCTAGGTGTCCCTGCTGGAGCAGTGGGGTTGGACTAGATGATCTCTAGAGCTCCCTTCCAGCCTTAAGCATTCTGTGATTCTGTGATGCCAGGTCATCTCAATATATTTTTCTTTCCACCAGTTTGTTGTCTGACTGCAAGTTTACATGCCTTCTGCAGGCTTTCTGCTCTCTGATGCCTATATATGTACTTGATTTTCCTGCCTTGGCTTTTGCACCCCAGCAGCCTCTTCTCCTCAGGCATGCACTGAGCTCCCCAGTCCGCTTGGGTTTCCTCAGAAGAAGGAAATCCCAAAAGCTTTCTGCTTATCAGCCGCTCAACACACATTTTCAGAGGAACATGGTGCAGAGTTCATAACAAACTACAAACAAACCAACCACAAGCTGTTTCTTTAATTATAGACAGATGTATAGATTTGAATTCATTAAATCATCTTCTTTTTGGTACATTCACAAGCTTGTCTTTGTGTTGAACATTTAGATGTGCAGACGCCCCTTTCTGTGAAATACTAATCAGAAATCTATTAGTATTATGTGCTTTGTATTGCTATACTGT